GTAATAAAATTTTGAGAGAGTCTTCCCTTAACCAGAGTCGATTTTCCGTATGAATCTCAAATATACTCCTAATTCTAGTTAAACCATTGAGGGATTATGTGTTGGTTTGGAGTTTGCGAATGCTCTTACTTATAGTTAACCCCCTAATGGAATAAGGGAGAGAGAGTCAAAGATTAAATATTACTAAATTGGCGTGCATCTAGAGGCATAATATAATCGTGTTATCTCCAAAGTGATAAATGCGCCTGACTCGGTATAATTCCGAGATGCAATTCGGTCTCGGCATGCTTACTCCAAAGATACAACAGGCAAGTTCTTTGATGCCCAAGCAAAATTTCAGAGAGAATGCTTTTGTCCGTCCCCTCGAATTTTTTTAAAACGAAATGGAGGAGAAAAGGTTGTTGTTCAAGCAGCTCTGATAGCAAAGGTGACAAATAGTAATAAAGGGTAGCCACTTGCCATACGAAGAAGGAACACAGTGCCCCTTGAAAAAATGTAATTACGTAAGAGGATGATTAGCGAAGGCCACATGTGGCATACAGGGGAATGGAGGCAAGCTGCTCAAGACATTTTTTTTGATGAGGTTAATCAAGCTACTCAAGGCATTAATAAAGGAAAATGAAAAAGTTGGGAAAGAATAAAAAAGTAAAGGCTGTCTGTAAATGAGCTTGAAGCATCAGCATGCCAGTCCATGTTGACGGACTCCATGGTGGTTAAAATAGTTAACCATGTGGTGGAAAAAAGAAAAGAAAAGATACTCTCGTGATGAACAAGGAATGTTGATTCACAGCGAACTTGCCTTTTTGCGCACAGCATGGCAACAATTTTATTTATTTATCTACTTTTCTAGTTCAAAGAAATAAATTCATGGTCCATAAGAACCGCAAAATTCCCATGATAAACTTATTCAATAAATAGGCGAAGCACAACTAGTTTAGACACATTTGACCCCTGTGCCTTCGTGCTTCAGCCATGCCCACAATATTTCCAAATGTTTTACAGATAAGAGGTTGTAAAACCGGAATACTTCTGTTGAGAGGCCCATGATATTCCTTATGCCTTCATGTGATATGCAAGGGGTATGCCCATGATATTCCTTATGCCTTCATGTGATATGTAAGGGGTTGTTCCATGGAAAATCCTAAAAATGGCATTTGTTACCCTCAGTACATATTGACCATAGTATTGCATAAATATTTAGCCTCCATAATAGTAAACCTTTCACTGGAATAGGACGGGACAACCACTCGAGAATCAGCTTCTCCAATGATTATGGCGATGCCCTAGAGAAACCAAATTACTTAAAGAAAAAAAACCATGCCTTATATTCCTCTTCACAGGTTAGGGGCAAATGATATATGCTTTCCTCACTGTTATTGCGCATGACACAACGGTTTGGATTGGTATTCCTCAGTGCTGCAAATTGAGTACTCTGTCGAGCTTATCTTGGACTTTGGGTGAAGATATGCAAGCTTTATGTGATTTAGGCATGCTTGTGTGTTCTTCAAGTACGTTTGATTAAAGGGACTTGACATAGATATTGCTATGACTGAAAGTTGGAAGGGTGGACTAGCACAGTATATGCGGTTTTTAATATTTCTCTTTTCTACTGGCTAGAACACTTACAGAGGTCCAAATAATACAAAATAAACTTGAAACAAACAAATATGAACAAAAAAAAAGATCTCACTTGCTGCCACTAAATAAAACTCTTTTATTTCAATAACCAAAAATTACATAAGACTCAGTAGGGACCAAGAAACACAAACTGCATAACATAAAAGTAAATGCTAGAAGATTACCTACACTGGACTTGATACACCCTACTCTAGGTCTCCTCCTCCAATGGCGCACGTGATCAAGGTCAATCTAATATCTTCTTAGTATGGGAAGCCTAGGCTAGGAACCTTAATCAGAGAGCAATGGTGGAACCATACAGGGCCTCGACACAAGTGTTTAGGCATGCCTACTAAGGATCAAGAACTGGGGTGTGCCCCCTCTTTCTTTTCTTATAATATTCTTTTATCTTTTAGGGAGGCTAGAGAGAGATGAGAGAGATCTGAGAGAGAGGGTGATGTACCACCTTGTGAAGGAGAGAGAGAGAGAGAGAGAGAGAGAGAGAGAGAGAGAGAGAGAGAGAGAGAGAGAGAGAGAGTAGTAGTAGTAGTAGTACG